AGATAGATAGATAGATAGATAGATAGATAGATAGATAGATAGATAGATAGAGATAGAGATGGACAGAAGTAGAGATAGAGATGATAGAGAGACTAGGTAGATGGAAGATTGGATGGGTGGATGGATAGAGATAGATAGATGGATGGATGGAGGGATGGATGGATGGATGGGTGAAGATGGAGATAGATAGAGATAGAGATAGATTAAACAAATAAACACAGCATCCCTTACATTTCTCAATCTCCATGATTTCGCTGGGGTAAGTCACGATTTCTACCTTCCCATCAGCTTCGTTTTTGTCAAGCCACCGGTTGCATGGGAAGTTGTACATCTTGCCATGGACAGGAATGATAATCTGAACGCTACCAAGGTGCCAGCCTGCTTGGAGGCCCACGTTGTCATGCCCGATTAGAATTCGATGGATCTTAAGCAAAGAAAGTGGAAGGCAGACAGGCAGGAAAGAAAGAAGAATAGTGTGTATATCTTTTTAAAAATTAACTGCTACGGTGATCCATAAAGGGCACCTGGGTTGGTAAAGCAAATTTTCACCATTGCATCAACATTTCATGCTAGTCCTGGCCTAATAGGAGAATATTTGTAGTTCAGGGTTGAAATGAGGGGTCCTAGGTGCTCTCTGAGCTTGGTTGTTTTCTTGCAGATGTTTCATTACCCAACTAGATTACAACATCAGTGCTAATAGGGAGACTCCTACATTACCTAGTTGGAGTTCTGCTAATCCAGAGGTCTCCAAACTTGGCAACTTTAAGACTTCTGGACTTCAACTCCTAGAATTCCTGAGCTAACATGACAGGAGGAGGAATTCTGGGAGTTGAAGTCCACAAGTCTTAAAGCTGTCAAGTTTGAAGGCCCCTGTTCTAGTCCAAGGGTCTTCAAACTTGGCAAGTTTAAGACTTGTGGACTTCAATTCCCAGAATTCCTGACTGGAGGAGGAATTCTGGGAGTTGAAGTCCACAAGTGTTTAAGCTGTCAAGTTTGAAGGCCCCTCTTCTAGTCCAACCCCCTGTTCAGTCAGGAGACCCTATATCATTTCAGACAAATCTCTTCTTAAAAACCTGGATGGAACATCCACAACTTCTAGAGGCGCATCGTTTCAACTGATTAATTGTTCAGGAAATTTCTCCTTAGTTCTAGGTTGGCGCTCTCCTTGGTTAGCTTCCATCCGTTGCTTCTTGTCCTGCCTTCAGGTGCTTTGGAGAATAGCTTGACTCCTTCTTTGTGGCAGCCCCTCAAATATTGGAACACTGCTATCATGTCACCCCTAATCCTTCTTTTTATTAACCTAGACATACCAAATTCCTGCAGCCGTTTTTCGTCTGTTTTAGTCTCCACTTCCCTAATCATCTTTGTTGCTCTTCTCTGCACTCTTTCTAGAGTCTCAATGTCTTTTTCATATCGTGGCAACCAAAACTGGATGCAGTATATTACAGGTGTGGCCTTAACAAGGCGTTATAATATCACTTCACATGATCTTGATTCTATCCCTCTATTTATGCAGCTTAAGTTTGCGTTGGCCTTTTTGGCAGCTGCAGCACACGGCTGGTTCCTATTCAAGTGATTGTTTCCTTCCATCCAGGATCCCTCTAGCAGTTACTACGATGGAGCCAGATACCACCTATTCTATACCTGTGCCTTTGGTTTTTCTTGCCTAAATTTAGCAACATACTTTTCACACCATTGAATTTCACTGAATTTCATGTATTCATCCTACTACTGAACTAGCTACCATCTACGCTATATCTGGACAGGGGTTTTGTTTCCCCAAAAAACACTGTGACGGTGAAAAAAATGTTCTCACAAGACTCATTTTCAGTAAAACAAACCCGCAATCAGTTCTTACTCTGCATCGTAATTTCAGATCTGTCTTACCTTCCCAATGTCCATTGTATCCAGAGTAAAAATATCTATCCGGCTACGTTCAAAGTAATTTCCTAAGTCGTTATCAGAAACCAGCAGAAATTCCTTTTTGGTGTCTGCTTTCTCACCGTACAGTTTGATCAAAACCTTCGAATCAGAGCTGGCTCCTGGGACATCGCCTGTCTTAATACTGATGTGATAACTGATATCTGTGAATATATTAACATTTGTACACAAGAGACACGGTCATATCCTGCAAAAGTGTGAGCGTTTGTTCTTCCAGGGATGATCAAAACAGAGAAAGAGAAAAAAAAATGAAGTTTGGGTGGGGGAAGAAACTCAAGAAATCGTCAATGAAATTAAGTTTGAGGAAAAGGATGCCCAAACTGGAACACTCCCGCTCTTTAAGAGAGCAAAGAATGAAAGTGAACTTAATTATGTAATTTAGGTAATGTTATGAAATTTTCCCCATACAGCTGGATTCACTACAAATATGGCAGGTTTAATTTGTTTTTGTTCTTTTAAGAGAACGATATCTATAACTATCCAGGCTGCTGAAAGGGAAAAAAATCATTTCCGTTACTATGGATCGAAGGGTGTCAAACTCAATGTCATTGTGGGCCACATCTGGGTTGTTTTTGACCTCGGGGGGGGCGGCATGGGAGGGGCCATGGTGGGTGTGGCCAGCTTGACATCACTCGTGTCGAGAATGTCTGTGGTGGCTCAAGCGCTCTGCCAGCAAAAATGGGCTCCCGAACTCCATTTTCAGCCACCACCGGCTCCTGCTGCCTTCTGCCAGTGAAAACGGAGCTCGAGGCCCTGTGTTTTCAGCCGTGATGGCCTCCTGCCACTCTCTATCACTGAAAACAGAACCAAGGGGGCTGTGCATGTCTCCCGAGCTCCTGTTTTGTTGGCAGAGGGTGGCAAGAGGCCATCACGGCTGAACCCACGGGCCCCCAAAGCTCCTTTTTAGCTAGCAGAGGCACCATGGGCCGGTCTTTCACTGTTTCCAGGACAGCCCTGTGGACCAGATCTAAGTACCCCACGGGCCAGGTGTGGCCCACGGGCCCTGAGTTTGACAGCCCTGCTATGGATGATCCATTCTATAAAACAATGGCCTTGGCCATTTTAAGACTTGTGGACCTCAACTCCCAGAATTCCCCAGAATTCTTGGACTTAAAAGTCCACAAGTCTTAAACTTACCAAGGTTGGGTACCCTCCTGTAAAGCAAGGAGAGAGAATTGATTGGGTTCCTAGCAAACGTGGGGATTAGTGAAGGATGCTGGGACTTGTAGTTCATTGATCTTTCGAAACTCGTTTGTTTCCTATTCTTATTACGAAGGAAGGAGTAAGACTATCGGGTTGAGAATCTGAGTGCAATAAGAAACCAGCAAATATAAGAGAACAAACACATTTTGCCATGAGCCCTACTTGGAATGAATTGTACAGAGCTTTTTTCTTTCTTTTTTTTTGGGTCCCAGTATATCCATAGGGAGAAACGCTAGCAGAAATGATGTTCAGCTAGCATTTACTATTCCATTTAATAATAATTTTAAAAATCCGGGTTATTTTTTAGAATTGTAAGAAGATCACAAAGTCATTTCAGGAAACTCCGAAAGACGAAGACTACTTAGAGCATTGTAAAACTGGGAGAGTGAGAGATATTTTATAGGTGCAGTCTGAACTATTTTCTGGGGAAAGGTTAATACAGCTTATCTCACTGTGCGTTATTTCCTTGCCCTTGTCAATCAACAGGCTGCCCTCCCTCAAAAAGTTGAAGATTACCTGTAGTTAATTCAAGGGGTGTCGGCTTTCAGTTTGAGTTAGGGGTTCTAACTCAAACTGAAAGCCGACACCCCTTGAATTAACTACAGGTAATCCTCAACTTACGACCACAGTTGAGCCCCAAATGTATGCTACTAAGCAAGACAGTTGTTAAATGAGTTTTGCCCCATTTTACAACCTTCCTTGCCAACAGTTGTTAAGTGAATCACTGCAGTTGTTAAGTTAGTAACATTTGTTAAGCGAATCCGGCTCCCCCATTGATTTTGCAGGTCCGAAGTTTGCAAAATGTGATCCCATGACCTCAGGACACTGCAACCATCATCAATATGAGCCATTGGCCACAATAATCCGAATTTTGATCCCATGACCATAGGCATCAAATGGTTGTATGAAAGACAATGATTGTGCAAAAAAAATGGTCATATAGTAAGTCACTGTTTTCAGTGCCATTGTAACTTCAAACAGCCACTTAACAGATGATTTTAAGTCGAGGACCACCTGTACTGCAGTTAGGTCTGTTCTTCACAACATGTTCAAAGGGTTGACAACACTTTGAAACCATAGACAATATGTTCAGAAGACTAACTTCCCAAGCTAAACTCTGGCTGGATCAGTGGTGCAATTCAAATTTTTTAACTACCGGTTCTGTGGGCGTAGCTTGGTGGGTGTGGAAGGATACTGTAAAATCTCTATTCCCTCCCCACCTCACTAACCTGCTTTCCAGCCCCGTTCTCCTGTGCAGGACAACCAAAGAAGACCCACCCAATCAGCTGGGACTCGGGAGGCAGGGCAGGGCAGGGCAGTCAGAGGTGGTATTTGCTGATTCTCTGAACTACTCAAAATTTCCACTACCGGTTCTCCAGAACTGGTCAGAACCTGCTGAATACCCACCTCTGGGCTGGATGTAGTATCTGTTTTATGGGAGAGGGGCAGGAAATCTTACTGATCTCAGATTTGAAAATGTATTTCTCAGTATGGCAATATATTCATCTTAATAACCTTCACAGAACTCACTAAATCTAGTTACTGAAATGAACCCATGCATTAGATCAAAGCACAGAACAAATGAAGTGGTTTACACCACTCACTGAGACCACAAAATACAGTACTTAATACAGGTTAAGAATAACAAGAGAACAGAACAGAACAAAACAAAACAAAACAAAACAAAACAAAACAAGAGGGAAGAAAGGATGTTCTTTAATTAGAATTCTACAAAACAGTTTACTGTGCCATCGTGGCACAGCGGTTAGAGTGCAGTACTTCAGGCTACTTCTGCTGACTGCTGGTTGACTGCAATTTGGCAGTTCGAATCTCAGCAGGCTCAATATTGACTCAGCTTTCCATCCTTTCAAGGTGGCTAAAATGAGGACCCAGATTTTTTTTGGGGGGGGGGGGGCAAGAAGCTGACTTTGTAAATGACTTAGAGAGAGCTGTAAGCACTGTGAAGCGGTATATAAGTCTAAGTGGTATTGCTATTGTGGAGGTAAGAGGAAAAGTGCTTTGGATACTTCCAGCAACTTGGGAACCATATGGCAGAGATAAAGAAGGGGCAGAAGGAGCTAGATTGCAAAAAATGGTCAGAACAGAACAGAACAGAATAATAGAGTTGGAAGGGACCTTGGAGGTCTTCTAGTCCAACCCCCTTCTCAACCAGGAGAATTTTATACCGTTTCAGACCAATGACTGCCCAATCTTTTCTTTAATAACCTGCAGCCACCCACAGTTTCTGGAGGCCGGTCCTTCCACCAGTTAATTGTTCTCACTGTTAGGAAGTTTCTCCTTATTTCTAGATCGCTTCTCTCTTTGATTATTTTCCATCCATTGCTTCTTGTTTTGCCTTCAAGTGCTTTGGAAAATACTGTATGTTGACACACACACACACCCTTTTCTTTGGGGCAGCCTTTCAAATATTGCAAGACTGGCTCTCGTGTCATCCCTTTTCCAGTACTTCTCTTCATTAAACCAGACATATCCCATTCATACCAACCAAACTTGTTCGAATACAGCCTCTAATTTTTTTTTTTAAGTCAACTGATTAAGCACGTTCGATGACATAATCAGTATATAATATGAGGATAGTAACTATGTGAACGCGACACCTTCATAAGAAATAATAAACCTCTGAAAGAATTTTATCACAAATAAAAAACCTGAGCAGGGGTGTACTTACTCAACAGGAGAGAAATTTCTTTTTTTGCAGATGCTAGTGGGATGTCATTCAGGAAACAGACATGATAAAAATAATATGTTTCTCATGAACTAAAACAAAACCGACAAGCTTGGTCCAAAGAGTCACGTGATAACAAAGCAAACTCACTTTCCAGCATAGACGATCTCCCATCTGGAACCAACTCTCGAACAATCTGGCCATCGTCCTCATTTTTGTCAAGCCATCTGGTTAGCAAACAAAATGTAAGTTATCTGCTATTACTGATAAAGGATCAGCAGGCT